TTCCAGGAATGTCACACTGTTGTATGTATGGCTCCTATGCTGCTGAATTTGTAGGTTGGCAGTAGTCAGTTAGAAAAATAGAAATATAAAGAGAACCGTGAGGAGATCTGTCTGCAACCAGCAGCAAAACCAAAGCTCTCACCCTGTGAATTTTAGCTGAGTTCATAGGAAAACAATAAGGGAAGTCCCCCAAATTTTCTCTGCCCGTGCAATGTCCAGAATTTGGTACCACCTTTGTAGTCTGCAGATCCCCATTGCCAGCAAATTGAGGAGGGACCACCTGTTACACTAAATGTTCATGAACCTTGCAAACAAAAATAAACAGTTACAAAAAAAGCCCTTAACAGCTTGTAACAGCTGCCACATTCCACCCAGGAGAAATCTTTATGCTAATGGAATCTGACAGGATCTACATTAGAGATCTACACATATGCAAATAAATAAATAAATAATTAAAAAAAAATTAAAAGGAAAGAAAAAGAAGCTTAAAAAAAAAGGAGAAATGTAGTAACTGTTCTGGGCTCCTCTGTGTAGCGGATGGTTTATGTATGTAAAGTTTTTTTTCATTGTTCTCACTCCGGTAGTTTACATTCTTTGATACCTTGGAGTAAAACATTTGTTGAGTGCACAAGCTGCATGGTATGGCCGAGGACTAAACTGAGCTCTTTTTGTTTTGTTGGTTAAATAAGGGAAGCAGTAGCCCTGCTGGGCTCCAGCTGCAGAGAAAATTCTGCTAAAGATCCATGTATGATGTTGCTTAGAAAATTAATGTCTTTTAATATCTCACATACCAGTTTGCCTCTTGTATCAGACTGATGAGAAAGTAGGGAATGTACATGAGGAATACTAGGCAGCTGAGCTGTAGAAAGAAGCCAGGCAGTAGTAGCTTACAGTTTGTGTAACAGGGCTCTGATTCCTGGACACATAATGTTGGAGCAGGAAGCTGTTTGGAGTTATTTTCCATCATCTTGGGGCACTCAGCAGGGATGCTGACCTTAGAGTCACCATGCTTGTGAGAATGGTGTTTTCCTTCCTATCTGCCAACAAGAAGCCTGGGAATTTGTGGATCAAAAGAAATTGAGCTGAGGATTTCCAGTGCAATCTGGAGATAGTAGAAATGGGAAAAGGATTAAGGAAAATAAAATCTGAACAAGTTTAATGTTCCTCTGTAATGTCAGCAACAGCCATGGTATTGTAGGCAGCTCTGAAAATGACCCGGTGGTCTTGTTGGTAGGCTCAGAGGTTGCTTGAAAGGGCTGAGAAATTTCCTCTCCTCCAGGTCCAACATATTTAAACTGCAGTAGCTGGATATGTAGTCGGTGAGGTAAGAAGGGATGATAGGAAGCCATCTAACAGGGTATTCAACATGAGGACTTTTGTACAAAGTACCTCATTAAGGAAAGGCAAATAATCTTATCTTGTCTCTTTGGACCTAGGAGAAGTTATAGGGAGTTTATCTTCCTCAGAAATCCTGTTTGTCCTTCAGCTAGACACAATATGTAGTACCAGCCACACTAAGCACCTTGGTGTTCACAGCCATGTTTTATTTTGCAGCTTCAGGAGCTACTCCCTAAATCCTCTCTGCTTAGTAAAAACTTAGTAAAGTAGAAGTAATGTCTGAGTTTAGTGAAGTCACGCTCCGCCAAAGTTGGTGCATGAAGAGAACCAAGCTCCCAGTCTGAATGCTGAAGAAAACTCAGATCTTCCTGTCTTGTTTCCTTGTGAGCAAATATGTGCAGCAGAGTGGCTTGAGCTGTGCCAGCTGCCACAACTAAGTACCATATTTTAAGACTTATCCTGTACTCTTCTGTGTTGCTCAGTTACAGATGTTCACACCTGTCTCTTGATCAAGTCAGAATCCTAACACATTAGGGAACTCTAGTTAAGAGTCACAGAGTCTTACAGAGCTAGATCTCATTAGGAAGGATTTTCCTATGTCAGATACACCTAACCTCCCTGAATTCCCTGGGTCTGTAATGAACTCAGTGTCTCCAACTAGATGACACCATTCAGGTGGGTTTAACTGAGGAAAGGCTAAAGAAAACACAAACCCCATCTCAGTGCCTACTGAGGCTGAACTGAGAGCAGCAGAACTAGTGACTCCCCCTCTCTCATTTCCAAAACTGGATGAAGGAGAGGTACCTGCTGTTCTGTGCTTTAATTTGGGGGTAATTATCCACCATATTTCAGGTCACAAAATAAAAGTCCTTGGAAGAAAAATGTTCTTTTATCCTTTGTGTGGTAGTGCATGGTTGGGTAGATGCTGGCTTATCAACCATTAGTAAATTCCTTTTGTGATTTTTGATTTGTACCAGCATGGCAAATTATATCCAAGGTTGTGGCTCATTTTCCACTTCCATCGTTGTCAAAACCCCCTTCTAAAAGAAGCTAAAGAAGCTTCTGTAAAGTCAGTGGAGTGATATCAGCATAAAATCGGCGAGAAGGGCTTAAGTCTCTTGATATTCAATTTTCTGCAGCATGTAATTGGGTCAGTTCCCAGGGATCCCCAAGGCTCCAGCCACATGCCCAGTTTGAAAGGCTGTACAGGAAATGCTGGAATGATGCAGGGACAGCATCTAGCCAAGTGCCATCTGTTGGCCGTTTGCCGTACTGCTTCAGAGGATGCACAGTTTCTGAGCGCCTGAACCAAGCGCATATGATGTGGCATAAACCAGCCTCTGTAGATTCAAACTCGCAGTTTAGTACCTCATTTCAGGAGGAAGACTCCATAATAGAAGCTTTTCCCTAGGTCCAGACAATGTAGTCTAAATCTACTTTCTTAGGACCTCAGAGAAGATGTAAGACTTTTCGATAACAGTTCAGCACGTGAACAGCTGTACAGAAAGTTCTTACTGTGATTTGTGAAGCATACTCTTGTTTTCTGTTGAAGAATAAAGTTATTAATCATTGCTAGGAAAAAAATGTCCTAATCACAGTGACCCCTACTCAGGCTTACTTTCTCCAACCCTTTGAGGTGGAATAATTTCAGCTAAAGGAAGCAGATAACTATCACTTTGCCTCTGTATCACTGGGCTCCTGAAGCAGGGAGCAAATGTTTCATCCCATCTGTTCTCTCAGATTGATTCTCTGTCTTGTAATCACAGAACCCCAGCCAGTTAACTAGTATTATCTTGAATCAGCTTGTGTCCAAGATGTCAGTTTTGGGTGTAGTACTAGTCTCCTCTGTTGGTAGGTTTGTGCTACACCTGTAGACAGATGGACCTGTTACTGCTTCAGCCTAACCTGGAAGTCAGTGGGAGTCATAAAGGACTCCATATTCAGAATGGATTAAGAGCAATACATACCAAACATTTCTAATGTCCTAGGCAATTTCTACATTGTACTGGCAGATTGTCTAAATAATTGGCAGTTTACTGAAAACATAAATGCTTCCTAATAGCACTTATCAGCCAAATACTTCTTGTCCATGGCACTGCAGCAGTAAATTTTCCAGAAATGTTTCCTCCTTCCACAGGAGGCAGGGTTGGTGGTTCTGCAGGTGACATCTTCTCCCCAAGCCTCTTCTTGACTATAGCCCTCTGCACCGATGTGCAAGCTGCTCCAGGAAACACTGTCAGAAACAGTGTAAATCTGAGACTCAGCCTTCATGAATTAGAGTTTCTTGCATTTGCTTGGTATGGGAAGATTTTTAGCTGGGGTGATACAATCACATTTTTAACATAGGGAAAACTTAAGGAGACAAAAAGTAACAGTCTTAGTCAGAGATATCTCGTTCTTTCTTCAAGTGCAGAGAGATGTTTTGTTTGTACAAGTAGGTGTTTTATTGCTTCTCTGGGATGTTTGTACCTATGTGATCAATGAGGGTATTCTAAGGTATTGTTTCCGTACCTTCTTCTGAAATCCACAGAGCCCTTCGTAAGGCCTTTGACTGAGTGCTTCAAGTCGCTTTATTCCTCTGTCAATCAGCTATATGAAACTACTGCAAATTTGTTAAAAATCGGGTCCAAAACATAAATGCATTGCTTTTCAGAATGTATTGTGCATTATTTTGATGTAATGTGAGTGTACCTCCTGTTGCAAAACAGCTGCTAGTTGCATAATTGCATCTTAGTCCTCCTGTATGAGAACTAGGACCGTATATATACACTGTACCTACCTAATGCATACATGAGATACTTTTGCGAAGAAGTCGCCATCTGACTCAATATGCCAACCTGGACTTTTAAATGAGTGAAAACACTTTCTTGTTTGTTTGCTTATTTTTAGAGCAAGCCTCCTTTTTCTCCCCCATGAAAAGAGGTAGTTGTCTCATATGCTCTTTTCTGCAATTTGTTTCAATGTCTTTCCTTGGTAACATGTTCCATATGTTTACTATCTCCCTTTTTTGTCCTTCAGTAGCCTAGAGCATTTTCTTCACCAAAAGCTGCATGGTTATTTTCCCAGGAAATATCATTGTTCCAAGACAGATATTATAGGAGCAAACAAAATACATTTCCAAAATGGTGCTGCCAAATAGCAAAATGAAAAAAAAAAACCCTCATTATTTTTGATACAAGGATATTAAAAGGAGAAAACTGTGTTGTTTAAAAATAACCAACTCTTCAATAGTAGTGCGTGAGGATATTCAATTTTAAATGGAATGTTGTTTTTCCAGTGAGCCTATCTAATCTTGGATTGAAACTATGGGTTGAATTATTGTTTTTTGTCTTTTGTGGTTTTTTTTTTCCTCCATTTTTATCTTTTTAATCTGTATTTCGTTCACCATTCCCAACATTGCCTGTTACTATTTACATTTCATGTTGAGGGTCCTTTTTTTAGCTGTTTCTAAAACTTTACAAAAATGCCAGATGTTGTGTTATAAACCCAAAGCCCCAAATCAGGCCATAAATCACAATAAACTGTAAATATATATGTTTATATATGTAATAAATATATATATAAAAGGCCATTGTACTGTTCTGTAGCTCTTCCCTTGTTGGCGTTCTACCCCTCACAGAAGGTAGAACTGAAGTGTCTTACCTGGTGTGTTTCCTTTGCAGACTCAGAGCAGAGCACTGGGTCAGACACAGAGGTGTTGGCAGAAAGGACATCCTGCTCATTTGGCTCCCATTCTGACCTTACATCTGGTGGCTCAGGCCCTCAGCCTCCTCCACCTTCATCCATGGAAGAGATCCAGGTAGAGCTGCAGTGTGCTGACCTCTGGAAAAGATTTCATGACATTGGGACTGAGATGATCATCACAAAAGCAGGCAGGTAAGATATCTCTGCTTTCCTATTTAGTTGAAAAAAAAAAAGGAATAAATATGTAGAAGAAATTAAATGGCTTTCATAGTTTCACAGCTGTATCTCCTACCAGATTTCTTTAGACAGGTAAAGTCGTTTCATATTACTGCTTGGATCAGTGGCTCCAAAGGAGAACTGGCAGCTTCGGGAAACTGTTGAGGACAGTCTTTTCTTTGAGCATATAAATCAGGAAATGATCATTGTACTGTTGGCTGTATTGAATTTAGGATGAGTTATGAATTTTGGAGTAAGCTATTTGAGTTTTCTTTCAAGTTCCCATAAGCACATCATGAGTCTGTTGCACCAAACAAACGTCTTCTTGTAATTCCAAGTAGACAAAATATTAATGACTTCCTGTATAAAAAATGTGCGGGCTTAATGTTTCCTTCTGCTATTGCAAATGACACCATGTCAGCTGAGGTTAGGAAGAGCCACAAATAAACCAGATTTATTTAAAAAAACCCCTCACCCTGCCATGCTGTTAGCCAGTCCTAAGATCTTCATTGCTGTCTGTTTGCCAAAAGCACAGCTGGAAGCTAGTTGTGAGATTCTGAATTCCTTAAACTGGGAATTTTAGCCAGGTTTGATTCATGTCACTTTCCTTCCATCCACCTGATGGTATTAATGGCCATCAATGACGTGACTAAAAGAGTCAGCACCACGGACAGCGCCGGCCACTTAGACCAGACCACGTGACCGCCCCTGGAGCTGTTCTACCCCTTCCGCAGGCTCGCACAAGGGAATTTACCCCGAGTTTGGGGGAAAAAATACGCTATTTATAACTGTTCCATGTCTGTGCTCTCAGAAATTGCCAGAACAGCTAGAGTTGTTGTTTCACTTTCTTGTGAAGTGAGCACTGTTGCTCCGTAGCCCCAGAAAGTCCAGGTAACTTCCTCAAGTTATGTCAGTTATATCCCTGAAGATTATGAAAGCCAGATTAGCTCCCAGTTTTATATGTACAAGCTCATTGGCTCAGGAAGCATTTTGCATGAGTACAGAGTGGGACGCTGCCTCAAATGGAAGATGCAAAGTGAGAGGAGTTATAATACTTGCTTATTCTGCATCACCTTTTCTCTGGTGTGGTCAAAGCAGACACAGAAAATTATTATTATCCTCATTTCATAGGGCATGAAATTGAAACCCAAACAGATTAAGTGATCTGTCCAGCATCATTAAATATGATACTGGTAGAACCAACTTTCTTGCTTCTGAATTTGCTGTCCTGGTGTTGTTTCTGGACATGCTGTCTCAGAAACTTAAAATAATATATTGCTACCCACTGGATTATCTAGAATGATTTCTCTTACAATGCACGGAGTGGACTTTACAGCAGCATAAATACCTCAAAGCCACCAACACCAGTGCACATTAAATGCTCAGAACTTAGTGGTATGAAGATGATCTTGGCAGCTCACACACTTCCAAAAGAAGTGGCTAAACATAAAGGGATTTTAAAAAGCTACACCTTAATTACAGGGTCATGGTTTTGTTTTAAAGTCATCAAAAAAGTTGCAACATGAATGCCACTGCAATTTTCAGATAGTTCAATGCAAATTCTCACAAAAGCCTTGGCAGCATCTGCAGGGGTCCTGGAGAAGGAAGCATTCATGGGGATAAACAGTGAAATGTTCTGGGAAGATATAGCATAGTGACCAGCCCAAAAATGAAAAAAAATCTATTTGGTCAGACTGATGCACCTATACAAAAAAGATTCCGTAGTTCCTCAAAAGATTTTAGGAAATTACAATACTAAAAACATTGCTGCTCTTTTCTTTTTTATTATTATTATTATTTCTGTTGAAATTTGTCATCTGTCTTCAAGTTTTAAACTCTATGTGTTGACTGGAACTATGTATTTTGACATGTTTAATATAAAACTCTTGTTCTGATATTTATGAATTTAATTATTTCATGTCAGCTGTGGTTCATGGAACTTGCCATTTGTGTTGCCTTTCTGACAAATAGGTTTCCCACATCATAACAAGCAATAGGTACATATCCCTAATTACACAGCAGTAAAAGGAAGCTGATTAAGTATTACTGCGAGATGCACATAGTTTCTTCCATGTGGGTACTTGATGCACCCACCTGAATTACAATTCCAGTGAAGCACCATGGCAGGAAAAATGAGGCCCATTTTGTAAAGAAGCATCCCAAACCCCAAAATATTGAGATTCACTCCGTCCTCCCTCCCCATCCTCTATACCACCCCCCACTTTTTCTCTTTGTTTCAACCAGGACCCGAATTAAAAAGAGGAAAAAAAAAAAAAAGCTTTGATTTTTCTTAGATTTTAGCTCAAAGATTTTTGTTTTCATGTTTCAGAGGAGACACGTTTATGCTCTGAGGAAAGCCTCAGTCTGCAGTTTATGATGAAGTATACCTTTCCCTATTTATGCAGCTGTCACATGTTAAGAATAACAGACACCTTAACTTCAAGAAGTCCAAACCAATATATGATGATTTTTTTAGTAGGGAATAGATTTAGGAAACCTTAAGGACTGGAAAGAATATGTCTCTTTCTGAGATTCTTTTCTGTAGCACCATTAATAGATCCAGTCTTGGAAATTGTTCCACTTATGAAAGACCATGTGTCACCCTACAGTCATAAGTTACTGTGAAAACCATATATTTGCAATCCTAAATAATATTCTTTCTTCCTGAAGAGAGATGCTTACCATTACTTGAGTCCTGATGGACAACTGGCTCATCACTGGCTGCCCACACAAAATCTATATAGCTACTAAATACATGTATTTTTGCTGCTTGGTGATATCCTTCTTGAGAAGCAATGTTAACAGTATTGAAGAGTTGTTTTTTTCTGCTGACTACATTTGCAGTTAACCATTGTAAAGCATAATGAAGATTTGGGCAGTTTCTTTACGTAGTATATCTGTTTATTGGGGACAGTCCTTATAGACATGATAAAATTAACAAATTAAATGTTTAACTTCTCAGATTGAACATTTTTGTGTCGGAGAGGATGTATCTGTGAGGGGTGAGAGCTGAGCCTAGCAGTCCTCCGTATGGGATGCATCCCATAGATTAGATTTCATGATTTCTGGCAAAAATAGCAGAACTGGTGTTATTTCCTGAAGTTTTCCTACTACTTACTGAAATTGTGAGTGACACACAGTGTAATTTGCAACTTCTTCCTTCCCTAGGGAAAATTTTCCTCTTCTTGTTGCTTTGTCTTTTCTAACCCTGTTTGAATCCTGCAAGGTCTTCTTGTTTTGAAAGCCCTTGCAATTACAGACTCAGTTGCCTATAACTACAGCTGCTCCTTAATTTTCCATGACTCGCAAGGCACTGCTTGGTTCCTGCCTGACCCCACAATGTCTTTCTGTTCATACTGTGTAATGCTAGCTTCTAACCTACATTCTCATTTCAAACATATTTCTGGAGCTATATCCTGCCTATGTGAGGTCTACTACACTTTTTAACTTTCAGACTTTCACTTGCATTTAATTCTGCTTCTTTTTTCTTTTCTTTTCTTGGTGCTGTATTTATAGATTTCTTTTTTTTTTGTTTGTTCCTGTAACCTACTTCAGTCCTCTTAGAACTTTTCCTTTCTTCCTTTCCACCAGAACATTGTTATTCAGAATTTAATAAGATGCTTTTAACAAGACTCCTTTGTTCTCTGTGCAACAGATGCAGAAAGCTTTTTGTCAGCTGCAGTGCATTCAAATCTGAAATCACCTTTATCTCCTTTTTGTTTGAAAAGCAACTTTACACTCTGCATAAAATAAAAACAATTCAGCTTAAGCCCCAGGTCATACTGATTTAAGCAGCTAGTCCTAAAAGCATCTTTAACTCTTATTCTCTACTTTCCTTCACCTACGGTGGTCATGAATGTACCCTGGCAATGTCAGAAGAGGAATCTGAATTCTTCCCACACGCCTCCTCCAATCCGTAGCTGAAGTCCATGGTCACCTAAGCTGCAGGGGTAGCTATTAGTTAACTGTTGCATAGAAGTGCTACCCAAAAGGGAAAGCAGAGTGTACTTATTACTGGGAATATACACTATGAAGAGTGCTTGAAGTCTTGCTCTGGAAGGGAAGTGCTGTCTACTGTTTATGGCATGCACACAAGCAAAGCCAGGAAGTATTCCTCTGGGGACCTAGGTTCTACCTGTCACAGAGCCAGAATCTCATCTCAACAAAGAGGAAAATGATCTCATCTGTCATATCATAGTTATTGGATCTGTACTGCAGGATGCCTCAAACATAAGTGCTGTGGTCGGGCTCAATAATAAGAGTTGGAAAAGCCAGCAGTGAGTGGAACAAGTGACCTTGTCCTCTCCCGACTCCTCTGTGCCTCCTGATGGGTTAAATGGTATTTTGTCTGGAGTTTCTTGCCTCCCTGAAACCATAAGTCTGAGTTGTCTGAAATGTACCTGGGGCTGTTTACATTACCAAATGGGGCTTTTTTATTTCCAGTGGAAGAATGGAAAGGCCTCACAGTGCTGTTCAGTTAGAGACAGCAGCAAGGATTTTGTTCTGAAGCTCTGTGGATTCTGAAGGGGGGGCCATGGAAAGGACTTCTCAGAGCGAGGGCTGGCAGCTACAGCTACCAAAATGCCACCCAGAGGTTCTGGCCCAGTGGGCCAGATAAGGTTTCTCCAGCTTCCACAAAATGTCCCCTTTGGGAGATACTGAGAAGATCTGCTGTGTTCCCACTCCCTCATAAACAAGGCATCTTTTTGCTCCCAATCCTTGCCTTCAGTCTTTCCACTCCACACAAACATATCCTCTCTATGGTCCCACACTGCAGAGGGAAACGGAAAGGTATTCCTTGCCTTGCCTCACTTTCACTCCTCACAGGTTTGTTTTCTTAAAGAAAAATACATTTGGCACCATTCTGAAGTGCAAGGAAATATGAGGACTAAACCAGCAATGGTAACTTCAGGCTGCCCTGAAAACTCATGCACATCATAAATATTGTGTATACTTAATCTGCCAACCTAAATCAGATTCTTTTGCAGAGTTTCTCAACTAGATTTTTTCTTTTTTTTATGACTGTGAAATGACTATTCAGCCTGTTCCTACCAATAGACAAATTGTCCTTCGCTACAATTGTAGAACACATTGCTTCATTTTAGGGTTTGCATTTAACAAATGTCACCCTTAAGCAAATTTAATCCTATTTAAGTTGTTTATGCAGTGTATAAATCATTATACTAAGCAGTCATGAAAACTGTATGGTAAACTGTATCAATCCTTTTGAACTCTCATCTGACTTCTGCTCACTAAGGAGTATTTCCAATGTTTGAAAAGCTTCAAGGAATTGCATTTTTGTTTTGTGGCAACCTGATAGGTACCTTTTAATCTTTTATCCTCTAATGGAGAATTGCCCTCTTTAGAACTAATCTGTGAAACAGAATGAATATATGTTGGAAGGGGTCTTTGGAGGCCATTTGACCCATGCCTCCACTCAGTGCAGGCCAGCTTTGAAGACAGTTCCAACTTGACACAAGCATCATATGTGCTGGTCCAAGGAGCAGGGATAAGAGTTGTCACCTTGAGGCACCTAAGGATGAGAAACTGAGACCTAATGCTTGTTGGAAAAAAGGTCCAGTTTGGGGCTATACCTGTGATCCTCCTTTGAACAGTTTTCACACAGGGAAATTTAACTAGAGTTTTTTGTATTAAATGAATGTTTTAAACAACAACAACAACAAAATGCTGGCTGCTACAATCCAAGTACTTCTTTCTACTGCTGAAAGTTCCAGGCATGGTTCTTAATACCAGTACACTACTGTGCTGTCAAATACTACTTTAACCAGGTTTCAGAACTCTTTATATATCATTAATTTTCTTCACATTCAGAGATTCAGAAACCTCATTCTCATTATGGAAAGAGGTGAGAATTGAGTAGACTGAGGCACATGGTTGTTGCAAAAAAGGCTTTTAAAAACACTTCTATGTGGCCCTGAAGTAACTGTAATACTTTATTTCGTATCACATCATATTTCCCCTAAAAAGGAACTGTAGGTAAGTTCACAGTCTAAGTTTAGGAAGACTCTTTTCCTGCTGAGTGGTAAAGCTAACGTATAAATAACTTGATCATCCCAAACTGCTGCTGATATAAAACCTCCTCCTAAACTATATCAGATGTCACCATGTGTTCTCCATGAAAACAGATGGCCTTTGTGTCTGAGGCTGTTGGCTATATAACTAGACAATATCTTTCTAGATGAAAGGTTCTTGACTGTTTATTAACACAGCCATATTCAAATGGCCTGAATTCCTTCCAAACCTTTGAGCTTCCTATTTTCTGTAGGGATGGTGCCTCTGATAAGCCAAGAGTCAGCCAAGAGGACACACAGAGCACAGGGGCTTAGCCTGGATTACACCTGAATACATCTCTGTGTCGGCACTGCTTGCCTTTTCCATTTCGCCTTTCCTAAGCAGCAGTGCTGCTGACACCTGCTGTGACATTTCCAGGCCACATCCTCATGGTAAAGAAACCTAAGTTACTTCTACACCCACAGGAAAAGTAAACTGGTAATAATTTACAAAACTCTGGAAGTGCACTTAAAGAAAGCAGTGAGATCAGCCAAGCTCTGTCTAATCACTTCAGAGATTAGTCTCTAAGCCTGTCGAATGGTCTGCAGTAATCTTTTACAAGGTATTTCATAAGCAAACAACCCCACAGGCGATACTGCAACTTTACACAGGGTTGCAGATTTGGAGAGAGCTTCTTGAGACACACAGTGTTCAATTTTCCCAATATAATGCACAGCCTTAGACTCAAGGAGACTCAGATTTAATCCTGGGTTTCTCATCAGCTCTCTGAAACATGACCTACCTCTTAAGCTGCTCTCAAGCCACCTCTCTCCAATTAAGGAGAGCTGGGCTGTAAAATGCCACATCCTGTCCCCATTTGGCTTGGCAGATTTAATGAGCCATTGTGGTAGAAACAAGGTAATGCCCTCAAGCCATGAAAGACTAATCCCTTATTCCTTCCCCCTCTCCATCATTCAGCTATCAAACTCACACCATCAGTTCCACAGGTCTGCTCTCTCCTTGAAGGGTTTCTGCAGACAATTCTTCTGACAGTTTTATGTCTCTCATAACTGGGGTTAGCTGTGCTCCAGCAGCTGCGTCGTGGTGCTCTCCCTGCCCCCCATGATAAACGTCCTTTTCCAACGCAGATGTACTTAACTAATAGGTCAGAACTTGCTTTCTTAATGTCCTGAGCTGAAAGAGCTGTGGGTAGGGTGAAGGCTGAGGAACAGCCTCCTTCCTCTCACCCTTTTCTGCAAGTAGGTATATTTGGCCTGGATGCGAAAGAATAAAATAGCTTCTCATGGCTGAGAATTGATTTGTGCCATTGTAGAGTTTCATAACTTGCTCCTCAGGAGAAAATGCTTAAGACATAGGTGGATTGTATGATGTAGAAAAGACAACACTTATTAAACAGATTGCACAAAACAAAAATGCTACCAGGACTTCAAGGAAACCATGATGGTAACACCAGTGTTTCTGTTAAATGTGAAATATATGCCTAACAAGCATATATTAGTATATATGCTTATTATTAATATATATATATTAAACATATATATTAATTTGGTGACTTTTTTTCTTAAATAACTGTAAACATAAGAGTGAAAGGATCTTTCAGAATGATGGATTTGCTTTAAATATTACTCCAGTAACATGCAGGAAACATACCAGGAAGAAGGTACACTGTCCATCCTAGAAATGCCTAGAGAGGATAATTTGTGTGGAACATGTCAGAATTGTCTGCTAAGAGCAGGGAACAGACAACATGTTCGACTGGGAGTGTTTTATTGTTACCCACAGGTTGTTATTCTGCTACCCCTTTTCTTAAGCGGGAAAAATCTGAAGATTCAAACCACTTCCAGCACAGTCATTGTTGGAATGACCCACATCAAGCCTAGAGGATTTATGCCAAGAACTGGACTGTGTAAAGGAATGTGCTCCTGGTATCAGAGAGGGGTCTAAGGAGCCCCTTCAGCTTCCCTATTCACCATTTTCTTCTTGATTTCTACTCTTCTTTTCCTAGGAGAATGTTTCCAGCCATGAGAGTGAAAATTACAGGTTTGGATCCCCACCAGCAGTATTATATTGCCATGGACATTGTGCCTGTGGATAACAAGAGATACAGGTAAGCTTTTTAGGTGCAGAGGTAGGAACTTTGTGATAATCTTTTGTCAATGACAGCCTAGGAAAGACAGGTGCCATTATACACCATTTCAAATGTATGGTGGAAGAGACCATGCTGATTTATACCAATATAGTTGATTTGACCAGAATCATGAGACAAACCCAGAGGTTTAAAATACTCTCTTGTACTTTTGGATGGGAATCTTGCTCTTTTCAAATAGCTGTTTTGAATCAGAGAGATCCCTAGCATGCATTTCACAATTGACATGATTAGCAATGACTGTCTGAGGTTACTGATAACTGGAGATATCAGTGGGGAGTTTGGAGCCTCTAAAACTGCTTCAGCAAGAAGAGAATGGGTATGCAGCAGCTGAACCAGGATGGGCATCTCAGGTCTGGCCTGAGCTAACTTGGGTGATTTTTGTGTTAAAAGCATTCACTGTCCAGCAGAGCAGTCACAGGGGATATGGGCCCTAAATTACAATGTAGAGCCATTGAGAAACCCTGAGGTGAATCTTCACAGCTGAGCTGAAAGACAGGAAGAGAGTGTTCTGATATTAATGGGATTCTGCTCCTAAAACGTACTATGGAAAACTCATGGTCCTCTTCATTCCAGAAAACTATCCAGAGAGAGGTGATTTATTCACACTCATTAAATACCTCTGAGAGCAAATCTTTTCATCATAGACTCACAGAATCATAAAACGGTTCTGGTTGGAAGGGACCTTAAAGTTCATCTGGTTCCAGCACCCCTCTCAAGGGCAGGGATACCTTCCACTAGAGCAGGTTGCTCCAAGTCCCATCCAACCTGGCCATGAACACTCCCAGGGATGGGGCAGCCACAGCTTCTCTGGGCACCCTATGCCAGTGCCTCAGCAACCTGTATCTAACCTAAATCTCTCCTCTGTCAGGTTAAAGTCATTCCCTCTTGTTCTGTCACTACCTGCCCCTATAAAAAGTCCCTCTCCAGATTTCCTGTAGGCCCCCTTTAGGCACTGGAAGCTGCTATAGGATCTCTCAGGAACTTTCTCTTCTTCAGGCTGAACAAGCCCAGCTCTCTCAGTGTGTCTCCAGATCAGAGCTGCTCCAGCCCTCTGATCATCTTTGTGTCACTCCTTTGGACTTGCTCAACCAGGTCCATGTTTTATTTATGTTGCGGCTCCAAGAGCTGGATGTAGTACTCCAGGTGGGGTTTCATAGAGCAGTCAAGGTCCCTTTGGATGGCATCCCTTCTCTCTGGCGTGTCGGCTGCACCACGCAGCTTGGTGTTGTCAGCAAACTTCCTGAGGCTGCATCAATCCCACTGTCTGTGTTGCTGACAAAGAGGTTGAACACCTCTGGCCCCTGGGGAACACCAGTAAGTGGTCTCCACTTAGACATTGGGCCGTTAGAGGCAAGAATGTCACGCAGGACAGTGCCCGATGCCTTGCACAAGTCCGGATAGGTATGTATGTCAGTCTTTTCCCCAGATAGTCTTCACTGCACCACATTTCAAAGATTCAAGAATTGATCCTCTGTTTCAAAAGCTAAATATTACATTTTCGCTCTCAGACTGTTTAGAGAGTTTCTCAGGAAAACACTTTCCTGGGCAGTATCCTGAGTCTGATACTCAGTTAGATGTTTTCCCACTTTCTTTGAGTGTTCTGACAGCACTAACATTGAAAAGTAATATATTGCCTTACACTTTGTTTCTGTCCTTGTTTGCTTTTGTAGCCACATAGAGCAAGCTAGCAGTGAAGGGAGCAGATTATTATTATTTTGTTTTTCTTGTGAAAATACAGGAAATGAGTCACTGTTTGTAGGCATGGACTGAAATAGCTTAGCAGAGCTGAGCAGAGACCCAGTGAGGGGCAGCACAGGGCAGAACCCGGAGGTGTTAGCAGGACTGGTTGTGAAATGCCTCAGGCTGAAGGAGCCACAGGACAGAAAGCAAAAAAAAACGTGTCTAGGCAAAGTTTCAGTAGAGAAATTTATGGTGTATCTGGGATGGTGAGATCAGGAACACAGAAGATCACAAAAAAATCAGGAACACAAAAATTACTTTTTACTCTAATCTCAACATTTGCAATACTACGTGGAATTTCCTATTTTGCAAACCAACAAATTCTGGTTTATTGTTTTTTTTTAGTGGTATCCATTGGATTTTGCTCTTTCTGTGTGAAGACACATGTGTTTTGCACAGTCTGGCGTGACAGCCATTGCAGATTGCCAGAAATTACAGGGCATTTATTAACATTTTCAGAGAGGGCTTTGTTTACTCACATTTTCTACCCTGTGACTCGGAAAGGGTTAAGGCGTTGAGAAGCCACATGTGGCAGAGTTTTACAGGGAAAAGAGCTGCAAAGGTGGTTTTAATAATGAATCAAGTCTGAACAAGTGGCTCAGGGGTAATCTGGCTTTCATTTAGAAGGTAGGAGGTTGCAGTAAAGCACATTCTACCCTGACTGCAAATGGGAGCTTGGGGTGTATGCGGTAGGGTGGCCGTAGAGGGGGAGCCCTGGAAATGTTCCTCCAGTGAGTGAGTGAGTGAATGAATGAGTGACAACTTCCCATAGCCATCTACCCTTCCTCTTTCAGGTATGTGTATCACAGCTCCAAGTGGATGGTGGCTGGCAATGCAGACTCCCCAGTGCCCCCGAGGGTTTACATCCATCCTGACTCATTGGCTTCTGGAGACACCTGGATGAGGCAGGTGGTCAGTTTTGACAAGCTCAAGCTGACCAACAACGAGCTTGATGATCAAGGCCATGTAAGTTAGAAGCTAACGCTGGTGCCTGCTGCCCTAGCCTTGCTCTTCTCAGGCTCAAAAGGGTGCTGCTGCTGCTGCTTTGATATTCCTGTGTCCTGCTGGGCACACATGTCTATAGCCACTCTTCACAGCTATGAAGCCTTTTTCCCCGCTTCAGTATTTTTCCTCAAAATGTTGCCTGATCCTATAAAGCTCTTTTCTCTCTGCACATAGTACAAAATCTGATACATGCTTGTAAGAAAAGGGCCATTTTCTTCACATTAGCCTTACGCCAGCCCTGCTTCCTTGTACATCTGAACGATATGTAGAATATTTGGGAAAATAATCCTTTCTCTTATTCTTTTGTTTTTTTTTTCTTCAGATAATCTTGCATTCAATGCATAAGTACCAGCCCCGTGTTCATGTCATCCGCAAGGATTTCAGCAGTGATCTTTCCCCTACAAAACCAGTTCCTTCAGGAGATGGGGTGAAAACCTTCAACTTCCCTGAGACTGTCTTCACAACAGTGACAGCTTACCAAAATCAACAGGTAAAGCTGCATGCCTTCAGACTCTTTTTGTGATGGGTGTTCATAAAACATCCGTGCACTCGATGTGTTTGAAATGTTAACTTTGCTGAGAAACGTAGCTCAAGGAGGGCATACACTTCACAGGTTCAATGTTTTATTTCTGCTACAGTGTGTAGACATGAGGCATCTAGCCAGGAAGACACCTTGCAGATAAGGTGCCTGCAGTTTTTATTGTAAAGTAAGTAGGCGATGTCAACCATAAAGAGATCATGCTCACATTGCCTTGCTGCTTCATGGTACAAACTACAGTGCCCTATCCCCACTGTAATTTTAAGGCAGTACAACTAGTCCAGTTCTATTATCTCACAGAGAAAACACATAGTCTTTTTTTAAGCAGTGAAGCAAAAAAATTTTAGAGAAGCACAATCTTATCAGTTTGCTGACAAGAGAAGCCTTTGAACATAAGCAGCAGCAGTCCATGTATGGCACGTGAACTGAAATTCTCATGCATAATTCATGTTTGATTCAGATCTTGCACAATTCCCAGTGGAGAGTGTTACTATTGACTTCAGATATCATAAGGAAAAGATGTTGCCACAGGAGGATCCTCTCTGTATAGACCTTGATGTTGTCACTGATCTGCCCTTTTTCTTAAGCTAGTCTTCTTGGCATTAAGAAATGTAATCTCAGTGCACACTAGTGTTTGATTATAGAGTATCCTGTCCATCTATAGATACTATATATAAAGATACTATATCTTTAAGTGGAAATTAATTGTTTGTAAAATGTGAGCAGTTGAGACACCAGCAAAGAAAGGAGATTTAGGAAGCCTGTGCTGTGAATTATGTTTGCTTCCCCTTCTCCTTCAGTGGGCAGTGAAAGATCGTGTCCTAGTCTTTGAGGAGGCGCTTGCTTCATTGCTTCTGCAGGCATGTTCACTGCACACATAAATGTATAAGCTTCTTATATCCATCCATTCCCTTTGCAGTCTCCTCATATACTGCTCACCTGCCACCTACCTCTGCTTAAGGATTCCTATTAGCCTTCATACCACCTCTAATGCTTCTGGCCCAGCGTGCTTCTTTTGTTCATGTACACATACTCCCTGTTTTATTCTCAAGTGAGGGGTAACTGTGCACATCGTATTTCCTTTTCCTGTCATTCCCCTCCTTCTTGGGGTGGGGGTTGTCAGGGCATTAAAAGGGCTGTGTTAGGTATTTTTTTCCCATCTATCTGAACCAGAATCTCAGTTGGTGAAAGTTTTGCTGTGTTAATAGTGAGCCTGCTTAAAGAACGTAAGGTATTGTTCTAAGCTAGAAGAATGAGGGCACAAACTGTCTTGGAAGAAAAATAACCTGTTATCAAGCCTCTTAGGGAAATAGGTTATACTATTTGCTGCCATAAATTGCAGAGGAGTCTTGAACCAGAAACAGTGAAGAAATTCTTTTTTTTCTATGATGATTTATATTCTTTTGGAGAATGGCTTCATGAACACAGTGGACATCATTATATTTAGTATTCTTGAGTGGAGGGACAGTCCCATGTCAGATCACTTTGGGGCAGTTTATAGCAACATCCTGAAAGCACTCTCATGACTGCTTCTGAATGCCCACTCCTAGCTTTTTCTCAGTCTAGTCCACTTGAAATGACTTAAATCAGGATCCAAAATGGATCCACTATTCCAGCAGAAAAAAATATTGCAACACGATGGTGGGTTTGCTCCAGCCATTGGAGCACTAGAAATTTCCTGCCCCCCCCCCCCCAGTGCATGTACTCCACAGACTTTTAACTGTAGCCCAGATATAGAAAGAAGAAAAAGAAAGGATAATTGACAAGAAATAAGCCTGTCATTCTTCCCTAATGACCAGACTTGTAAGACATAATTACACTGATATGGGAGGTGCCAAGGGAGGGCACCTCTCAGGCACTGGCTCTATAAGCTAGCTCACTGTAAGGAAGCACTGAAGTTTCTTCCAGTTTCTCTGGATTCCAAACACGTGGGGTTTTGCCCCCTAAATTTTCTTTTGGGGGGCATTTTTATAATACCAGTAAAGGAGGTTCTGCAGGATTGAGGAAGTCTTTTCATTACAAATAAGTGGAAATCCCATGAATATGCCTGTATGCCCTCCCGTGGCTGTAAACTTTGTCTTACTGGGAGAAGCGTCTCTGGAAACAATTGTAAAATGTTAGCAAATCCACCACAGGGATTCCCTCTGCTGTAATTCCATCCTCCACAGAACATATCTGTCTCTGTACACACAAGTCCCAGGACAGCTGCAAAGTCAGGCTAGCGGAAATTAAGTTCACAAATTAAGCTTCTGCAAAAATAGGAGCTGCATTCCAGATCTGAGGTTAATATCCACAGTAAGGACTTCGTTCTGACAGAAGCAAACCACCTGCAAATCCGCTTCAGATCAGTCTGCATTAAACTCATCTTTCTTGAGCAGTTTCTGCAAAAACATCTCAAATTTGATAGGATCTTGAGATCTTACTCTCTTTTCACCCCAGAGGCAGGGTCTCGGGGACTGAGGTTGGCAGAGGGAAGCATTCATGCTGCACCAGGTTGGGGAATAGCTGACAGGGAGTATGATACCACAGGCTGCAAGGTCAACCCCCCAGTATTATTTTCCATATTTACCAGCATGGAATTTGTGCCTAAAAATAAAGCAGGAAGGAAGATTCCCCAAAGCATTCAGTCTGGCTGTCATCCTCTTGGTTTAGGGGAGGGGGGAAAAAGTAAAACAAAGATGGTTTCCAGACCAGAAAACCCTTGAAAGGCCACCCAGATGCTGACCAGAAGAGCAGCACCTTCTGCACGTGGCTGAGTGGCCAGCTGCTGTCTTTGGAGGCTGTAGCCTGTGCTTTGTCTTTTCTCCTTAGCAGCGTTTGAAGGTCCATGAGTGCATCCAGCTGCTGGATACCCAGAGTGTTGAGGCTGGGATGATCCCAGATACCAGCCAAACCTGAGCAGAATGCCTGCTTCCTGAACCACATGGCCATTGATAAGTTATATCCTGGGCCCAAGTTGTGCTTCTACTTTGGGAACAGCTTCTCAGCCCCAGTGCTGTGCCAGGTTTCCTGATACTGCCATATTTCTGCCTCTGGCACCATTCATTTGCTGTTCGAATCAGCTGCTCATGGATAACAGAAGAGCAACTTTAATATAAGTCTGGGGAAATACGTATGAAAGATCACTGTACAGGTGGTTTTGTCAAGAGTTGTAATCATCAATAATTGTCACTTTCTGAAAGCAAAAAACTTGTTTGGAGAGATAACCAATTCTCATTTTCTTTCTTTATAGATCACCAGATTAAAAATTGACAGAAACCCCTTCGCTAAAGGTTTCAGAGATTCTGGGAGAAACAGGTAACAGGAGCTTGTTTGTGTTTTCTCACTGATCTCTCCTTCCCCTCATGAGTGCACAGGGCATGCATTTAAGGCTGAGGAAGGTGTTTTGTGATCCCAATTAATTTTTACAGGAGAAATCTGCTGTAGACTAGTTGTTAGAGGAATTTGAAGGACTGTTTACTTTGCCTGAACAGATCCAATGTATATTGATGGCTACCTCAGAAAACACCAGATTAGACAGCTAGACCAACCCTGTTTCTTTACAGAAGTCTCCTTCAGTGCTGCTCCTACCTCTGCCTGGACCCTGCAGTCCAAAACCTTGACAGAAGGTTTTGATATTCTTAGACAGCTTAAGAAATTCCTGCTTGACAACATTTTTTTCTGTGACTGCATTTTTTGGTGTCATATGTTTAATTTCCCACTCACTGCTACCTTTGAACCCCTTCTGTTGCCACTACTTTCAAGGCTATTTTCTTCTGTATATGTGTTTTGCTGCTGGATGTTATTTTTCTCTGCTGGAAAATTAATTTGTTTATGTTCATTTCTATCATTTTCATGTTCCTCTGAGCTTTTCCATTTGTTGTTGAGAAACAAAATTAAACATTCTGATAAGTCATTAGTAAACTATTAATGTTTACTGATATTGTCCTATGATATCCAAAGAATTAGGTAAAATAAATGAACTTCTAAAGATACTGTAGAGATTCTTAAAAAAAATATATTTTTTATTACAAAATTGAAGACCAGAGATAGAAAGATGTAGGATTGCAGACTGTAAAGAAGACAAATCGGTCACGGGCTAAAGCTCTGAAAAATAATGAAGGTAGTAGGAGATACTTTTGCTTGTTCTTTATTGCATGTAGAGCTGTGTGAAAGGCGTTTTTAAATTTGGATTTTCACAGGAAATTTACAAACTTGGAGCGCAAATGCTTGTTTTACATTAGCATAAAAACTAAGATTTTTTGATAGGTTTGCAGGATAAAAGTGCAAAAATGCTTTCGTTTCAAACAATTTCAGTTTCTCTCCAGTGATGTCAAATTGTTTCACTTTGACTGTGTCACTTAATTTTGTCAGGATTTTTATGAAAAGATTAAGTAGAACAACTTAAATGCTATTTAGAATACATTATATTTTAAAAACTCAATAATAAACCAGGAGATTAAATAAAAAAAAACCCTTTTGAATTAGTAAAAGACACAGAGTTATCAAAAAAGAACAAGAAAGTCCAAACAAAAAAGTCTCAACTTTTTCTGCCATTCATAATTCCATCAGAGTGTGCAGCAGGTCTACATATTTCAGATCTATATACTGGGGGCATCCTTTAGATCAGTGTGACAAAGGCTTCAAACATTAAATTGTTTATAGAATTAGACATATATGAGTATGTTACAAGAACCCTAGGACTGTAAAGCAAGGCTCTGAGCGTGCAGACCAGAGTGCAAGTCATCTGCATAGCCTTCATTTGCAGCCCCCATGGGCACTGTAATTCAGTTTTTACTTGCATGCTCCTCTTGTGTGTGTTCACCAGAACCACTGCCGCATTCATGGATTGGTATGGGAAGTGTTCAGTGACTGGGCAAGTGCTCTGTGTTTTCCATCACTCATTTAAATGCTCACAAAGAAGACATCTTACTGACCTAGCAACTTCCTAGCTCAGCTCCTCTGTTATCATCTTACTATAGCTATGCAAAAATATGTTACCACCCTTATTTAATCCCTGCCGTGACCATTAGTTCTCATAGTTGAAGCACATGTGACTTTTTCTCTGCTCTCCTCTTCTGTGTGTGGGTAGTATCTGCCCTGGGTACAAGGTCTTCCCTGTGTGCAGAGATACAGCTGCACTGGAGGCTGGTTTTAGAAAAGGGATTGATGCAGTTCCAGGTACATGGTGGGCTAGATTAACATGGAAGGCATTAATAAGGTCCTAGCCCAGTGAATTTGGACAGTTTCCTGAAAAGGTTGGGAATTACTGATCTTTGTAGCTCATTGATTTAAGAAAGGGCAGGAAATTGCTACACGGCTGCAGCTGTGGGGAGGGCTCAGTAAAGCTCTCTGCTGATGTAAAGAGGAATTAAAATCTTTAAGGTATTACACATCAAAGAGAGCAGCCTGAGGCCTTAGGAAGAAAAAACAGGCAAAGGTATTTGCAAGCATATATAGCAGTCAGGCGCCTGCCTCACAAGCAGTGGTCTGGCTAAGGTTGCACTGCTGTTGTCAGCTAGTGGAGGACATTCTAATGCTCAGCTGCTCCCTTTAAAGAGGACATGTACATAGATGTACACATAGGAAAGAGAAAAGCATTAAGGTCCAAGCCATGCCTTGAAAAGGCTCTCCAAATGGGACTTTTCTTAACTGTGCTGGCTAGCTTCTCTTCCTCTTGTGAATTTGTAATCTCATCAGGATCACTGGTCAGCTGGAGTGTCAATCTTGATGCTCTGTAGCTTTCCACGTCCTCACAGCCTTGGTTAGCTACGGTGCATTAGGCTGGATGTGGAGAACGTCCCACTGAAATTGTAGGCCTCCTTTGGAAAAGAAATGGGGTAATTTGAAAAAGGGACCATTAGTGAAGCAGGCAAGTGTAGTATGTATCCAAGAGGTTTTCGGAGAACTCCTCTTAGGCCACTTCTTTCCTGGGACATTTCCTTTCTGCCTTGTGTTGAGGCTTTTCCATGAAATGGAGATGGATTTTTTCCTTCACTTACTTTGTATCCTGATATTGTTTCACTGTTGTTGCCTGCTGCAGAAATTATGGAGTCAACTGTTGTTTTTAAAAACAGTTTCCAGTTAAAATCTTTCACTTCCATCAACTCACAGCCTCCCTCTATAGCTCCTTGTAACTATGGTCTCTCTTCATTAGTATAAGACACTGCTAAACCCCTCCTGCTCTGGGGACACCCCATCATGATGGAACTCCCTGTATCCATCTGGTGGAGCAATTTTTTTCACAGATCCCTTTTTGGATCTCCTTCAGTTGTTTGTGTAATTGTCTCCTTCACAGCTGACTGCGCCAGTCCTTCTGCAGGGAGAAGGAGCAGTGAGGTATTTCAGAGGGAAACAACTCTGTAGCTGGACATTGTTTTGTGCTCAAACCATGCTAACTAATGGTGTTCAGTAATGTAGCCATTAGCCCTGATGGATGGAGTTAGCCTGTGTTGGAAGGTCAAGTCTTACCCGCTTATTAGAGATTCCTTCTACACTGTTTTTGGTCCCTCTCTGCTTTATCTGCAAAAGCACGTAAAGCATCTGTAAAAGTTGAACAAGGCAACTACTCCTGGTGGCGAAAGGATACCTACATAGTACATGTATGAGGCAGGCATTAATTGCTTTCCTGAACTTCAAGAGATTGAGAACCAGAGGCTTGACACATGGAGCTCAGCTCGCTAAATGTTTGGGTAGTGAGGGTGCAGATTTAAGGCCACAGAACCTTTTTTTGGAGACTGAGTAAAGTTCATCTGACAGTGGGATGCTTGCTGAAGCCCCTTATCCAGGAGGAAACCTGCAGGGACAAGAGTCAGGAAACGCAGCAGGGTCATGGAAGAATAAAACCCTAATCTGACAGCAAGCAACAACACTTTTCTTTCAGATGTGGGCAGCTGAGGTGAATAGGAGTTGTTTGTGTTGGAAATGCTCTTTGAGCTTTTGTCTAGGATAAGAGAGCCAGGAGGGTGCTTGGAGCCAGTAGTTTGGCTTCCCCAGTGAACAATGCAATGATGACCTGAATCCTGCGTGCAGTGGGAATGGCAAGGTTGGCCATATGGGATGGATTATGGAGGTGCGCAGATAGTTTGTACATCTTTTTTCATTTTTCAGACAATGGAACTGTTTCATTTATTGCCTATTATTAAAACTTTATAGCACTAAATATAAAAGAATGAATGAAAAAGAGAGAATTTTGGATACGTTTTAAAGGACTGACCTTATTAAAATGAAGCTGGCAGTGAGTCCTCTTCTGATACTTTTTTTTACTTCCTTTATAAAGATGGTGTGAGAGGGGAGGGTTTATGGCCTGATAGACAGTTTGAAGTGAATTTTTCAGTGCAGTTTTTGGAAGAAAGAGTGGATGACATATGCATAATGTCCATCACACTTGGTACCAGCAGCCCTCACCAAAGCCCAGAAAGCTGCTAACAGTTCAGAAATGCTGAAAACAGCATTTATTGCTGTCCCAAAATGTCTCTTCATTGGCAATGTGGGTTTTTTTTCCCCTGTTAGGGGCTAGAACACACAGAATAGCACTTCAGTATTTCTGCTGACTAGAAGAGCACTGCCTTTCTGTCCTGTGGTGGAGGTATGTGATGTGGCTCTGGATATCTTGGTACCAGACCAGTGTCATAAACTGCTATGGGAGTGAGGGTTTTTAGAACTGACAGCAATGGAGTTTCTTGATTCCCATCTCCTCACCTCAACATTTTCTTTCAGAAATAGGAATACATCACAGTCAGAAGAAAAAAGATATATTAAAAGGCTGTGGTTAGAGTGGTAAAATCAGTCCCAGAGAGGTGGTGTGCCTTCTCACCAAAGCTGTTTTCTGCATGGCTGCATGTTCTTTTTCTGCAAGACTCCATACATGGGGTGGAAGGTGCCTCACAGTTTAGCTAGCATGTGAGGCTGCTGTCTCATGGGTCTTGTCTGATGCATGGAAGGATGCAAAAGTTCAGTAAGGATGTGTTCTGCTTAGATACTGTTTCAAAACCACTCATAACGTTTGTTCTGCACAAACAAATCAACAGGAAAAAAGGATGATCTAGTATATAGAGACTTAACTTTGTGCATAAGGGAACTGGACATAACTTTGAGCTCTGTCACCCACATACTTAAGAGAGGGTGTTTTATAACGCATGTTCAACACGTGCACACCTAGGAGTGAGTAAAGGACTCTCATTTGGGACAGGAAGAGGAAAGAGGTGGCTTTAAGCCAGATGTGGAGTTTGGCATCCATTCTTCAGGCACCTGTGGCTGCAGAGGTGCCCTCAGCATTACAGGGCAATCAGGGAATCCAGTGAAGCCACAGTGTTGCTGCTGGCAGTTGCAGTATGGAAAAGGGAGGTAGACAGGAACTGTGTCCACAGCAAAGGGGCTGTTCTAGACCTGCTTCCCTGGAGTGGGAGGACGTGGGTTCCTAGTCACATTTTTCCTTTCCCTGTCATACAGGGCAGGAATAGAGCAGCTTTGCAAGCTGCTCTGGTAACCCCACTGCTGCCATTTACCCTCTCAGGCACAATGGAGTCCAACCCTTGACAGCACTATATAACTCCTAATTTACTCTTTTATTTCTTTTTATTATTCCCCCATTCTTTTTTTTTTTCCCTTTTCTTTTAGAAGTACGAATTCTAGGGTAGTTGCAAGAGCTGAATTGATACAGGGGAAAGTGGCAGACAGAGAGCTAGAAGCTTAGAACTATGAATAAGCCTGATCTGAAACCGATGCTGGCTCCAGGCAGAGGCAGGGGTAACAGTTTTAACCTGCATTGACAGTTTCACTGAGCCACCTCCCATTAGGGCTTGGATTTTACTGGAAGGGAGTCATGAGAGCAGAGCTGGAAGTCAGATGCCGGTGCAGAGTGGTGTTATGTGCACAGGGATCTAATATCTGAGCCAGACTGTGAACACTGGTTTTAGTGATCTGGCCTCCTTATTTCCCTGCACGATCCTTGTGGCAGATGCAGAGCAGCTGGATTAGCACAGCTGGACACTTCAGTCTGCATTTCTGCATCTATTACTTGGTTTTAATCACCAAGCTAGGTCCTTCCAAGAGCAGCTCTTGTTGCAGAGCAGCTTGGTCAGGGCATTTTATGCCCCCTGGTTATATGGTACCAGGAAGTCCTCCCTCAGTGTTTGCACTGAGGATCATTTCTTAAGGCTGCAAAAAGGTGCCATTCTCTTCCCGGCTGCGTGTGTTGAGAAGCAGGTGGAGCCTGAACACGTGTGGCTTTCTCACACAGGGAGCAGAGGAAATCCTGGGGGTGGTACCGGTAGTCAAAGAGCTGCTTTTGCACATAGAGCCCAGCTTAGCAGATGGGTTCACATTCTGTGCTGTCTTGTTGTCTCTGAGCTCCATGAGCTGGCAGAGGTCACTGTATTAACCAAATAGTTTTGTTGTAATGTGCTCAGCACTAGTGTGAGACTGCTATGCAGAGATGTCTTCTGTTTCTACTTCTAACAGCTTAGCAGCTAATAAACACCATGCAACAACCTCTCTTCTAAACCTCCTCTTAAAATACAGAGTTTGGTTTGCCAACTCCAATGTATTTAAAGCATCTGAGCTTCCGGGGAGAGTTTGGAAAGTTAACTGAGTGAGTGGAGGCACGTGCAGAAAGACATTTTCATAAGCAAAAGGCAGCTCCAGTATCAGCTCAACATCTGATGAGAGGCTCTGGGGATGTTGGAGCCTTTTGCACTGAAAGGGGATATGTTCTCACATTTGATGAAGCATCTCTAGTCGTGTTCAGTCAGTGCAAGGGCTATAACCTACTGCTGGAAAAGAGGCAGGGGAAGGTGAGGAATGGGGAATGGAGCAATGTGCAGCTTCCCCAGAGGGAAATCTTTCCTAGGAAGAAACTCCAGGCAGTTATCTCGTAAAGAAGGGTCTTTTCCTAACAATGCACTTATGTCCTCACTAGAGATGTTCAGCAGAGCTAGCATTCTGTGGTGAAATTAAGAACAAATCTGAGACCAACAGGAGAAGTTCTCACTTGAGTTTGTCTTTTTCTCTTTGGTACTGTCTTTGCGGTGAATTAGGGACCCAAAGCAGAGATGGCACCGATCTTTTATAAAAAGCATCTTATGTATTTCTAGTTGAACTCCAAAACCAAGGAGATTCCCTTTTTGATGGCTTCCCATAGCACTTCAGAACAGCATGCAGAGCTACAAAGTGGTGGAGAAAGGCAATTCACAAAATCTCTGATTCTGTAGGCTGAATCCCAGACTGCCCTTGTTTGCATGACAGCTTGCATCCCCAGAGTGTGGATGCCTGCTTTATGATAAAGTATGCTTTAAGAATCTGGCAGTCATGTGTCCCCTGCAATGCATAAAGTCTGGGATATTTGTTAAATATAAAAAGATTTAAAAGGTTCCAAGAGACTCGTAAGAACTTTCGCAATCCTGCACTTGGGGAATTGCACTTTCCTCCGGTGACCTGTGCTGGAAGGCTTGCTTGAGGAATTCACAGATGCCAAGGTGACCTTTTGGTGGCTGCTGGCAGCCTGTCAAACGAGGTCGGAGCCCTCTTCCCCCAGTGTCAATACCCTTGCCAACTGACATTCTTTTCTGCTTGTTTTATTTTCATTGCACAGGACGGGGCTGGAAGCCATTATGGAGACCTATGCCTTCTGGAGGCCTCCTGTGCGCACTCTCACCTTTGAAGACTTCACTACCATGCAGAAGCAGCAAGGTGAGTGAGCAAAAGGCATGAAAAGAGCTGTAGAAAGGGCACAAGAAGGTGTGCTCTGCTGTGCGTCCTGCTGCTAGAATGGGCATGTCAGATACCTTCTTGAGCCCTTGACTGCTGTGGAAGAGGAGAGAGGATGGATGGAAATGGTGGACAGGCAGTGCCTTACAGAATCATAGAATAGAATAGTGCGATGAAGTGCAATGGAGCTGCTTCATTCCCTGGCATCCCCGGTGCTAGAGCTGGAGTTCAAGAGACAGAAGGAGGAGCAGGATAGAGCATAGGGCTAGGCAAACCAGCCCAAGTACACAGCATGAGTTAAGTGTGAAGAGAGCACAGAGAGGAGAGGCTCCAGCATACCAGACATGTTGTTCTCCATTTACGGTTAACATTTGCCATTTGTGTGAAAACACAAAGCAAAGAAGACCAGAAATGTGCTTTCCCCAGGATCACATTGCTTTCAAAATTCAGTGGCTTTGCTGGAGAAACTTTCTGTTAGTATGAGTCTGGGAGGAATTATTAGGTAGGCCAAGCATTTTCCGCTTGCTCATGCTGTGTCTTTTCGTAGCTTCTGCCCTTTACATCTCTCATTTGTTAAGTAGGGCTTTCATCTCTAGTTTCAGGCTGCGTTACTCTACTCCTTTTTTTTTTTTTCCAGGGATAGGACTTCCCCATTCACTTAACTGTAGTTATTTCTAGTTAAAAAAACACTGGGAATAGAGGTATCAGGGCACCTGGTCCTTTTTTTTATTCCAATATACATGCAAGAAAAGAGATAATCCAAACCCATGTTCAAATGTGATAGTTATGAGGTTAAACATTCAAAATCAAATGCATGACCTGTGTAGCAAACTCTCCAGCCTCTCATACTTGAACTTGATGTCACCCCAAAACTTCCCTCTAGACCTTCAATCCATCATAGGGATGGCATGGTCTCCTGTAGAGGGAGAGGAGCACTGGCTGCTGCATCTGCCTATCCCCAGGGCAGAATCAGAAGGGAATCCAGCACAGAAACATCTTCTGGTTGTCCATTACTCACCCCAGCTCCCTGTGCAACACCCCAGAGCCCAGGTCACCTGTTCAATCATTTTCTGGTGGCACAGCACCGGAGGAGGACAGAGCACACTCTTGCTGGCTGCATTAGACTCCCCATGAGTAGTCTTTACACAACCACAGTGCAGCAATGGGGCAGAGGAAGACATGCACAAACTCAGGGGCTTGTGCTGAGGAGCACTTGTGGTCAGAAATGGGTTAAAGCTGAGATTCAGAGGGGTTTTCATCACCCACCTAAATAGAAACATAACAGCCTCTCTCTTGGTCACAGTGCTGAGGCAGCCTTCCTCCTCTGTGTCACCCCCTCCCCTCCCATTGCTGATCAGATAACATCCTAATGGCAAGTCCAGCTATTGCTTACGTGGTAAAGTAATATTAGGAAAGGAAAATATTCAATGTATTTTTAGCTTTAATATAGTTTGGCAGCTGAAAAACAAGGAAGCAAGCCAGTACCCTGTGACCATCCGGCTCTGGGCAGACCACCACCACTGCACCACAGGCCATTAGGCTTAGGGGCAGCCCTTTATGAAAGTTGTGTCCACAGGTCACTGTCAAAACTTAACAGCTCGCTACAAAACGGTGCACTCAAGGTCTGCATTTAGTCATGCAAAATTATCTCAAGATAATGAATCAGAAATATTCCCTCCATCATAGTGCTCACCTCTCCAGTGGCTGCTGTAATAAGATGATCCCTGGGTTGCAGCAATAGGTGCAAATCCAAGGTACAAGCAGTCTAGTTTAATTTCTGGTTGCTGGGACAGGCCCCAAAGGTGAGCACAAATATATTGGTCTGGAGACTTTGGAGCTGCTGTCAGAAAGAGCAAGAAATGCTGAGATGGCTTTAAGCCACATGTGATTGTTCCCTCCAAAAGTAAGGTAACCAGGCCGTACTGTGCCCGTACCTCTTCATCTCCTTGCTTTCAAGCACTTGAACTGTGTGACAGGTAAGTGAATCACTGGTGTTTAATGGCTGACTTCAGCATAAGCTATTGCATCTTGGATCCTCTGAGCCCTAGCCAGTTTTTTCATGGAAGTGACTTCCCTGGGACTTTGCCCCTCTCTTCCATCTGAAGCTTCAGTGCTCAGAGCTGCATGCTGTTATCTCATACCCTTGCACAGAATCATAGAATAGTTAGGGCATATTTATGCATTAGAAGTTTCTAGGGTATTATATTAGTAAACAGACACTTTAATTCCAGGTCATGATTTTGTCTCCAAACCTGGGTGAATATGTGGCTTTTTTGAATAAACATTTGAGGACTTGTAAGCCTCCATTTTATCTCTTGAATTTCTAGTTGGGAAACTGCACTGGGGCTACAGGACACTTCTGGGACTAGATGTGTCCACTGCAGCTTAAGAGGAGTGCACATGTAACTACAGAGAGAAAAGATGGGAGCAGTAAAAGTGGCCACGTGCCTAGGAAGAAACATTGTCAGTGAGTTATGGTTATTCAACCTGATGAGAAGGGAAAGAGTACATAGTAGTACTGAAATAAGATGCTGTCAGTGGTGTAGGGAAAGAGCAATAGGCTCCAGTTATATAAAACCTGGCGAAGTCCTGGAGCAGTTTCCCTGTAGGAACTATGGAATTCAGTCTGGATTTTCTACAGGTGAGTCTCCTTCACTGTGGTAGAAAAAAAAAAACATTTTCTGGGGCAGAAGCCTGGGACTTCAGCAGCACAAATCTGGTGTTTTTGTTGCATTCCGGCTAGATTCTTCTGTGCTATGGATTGCTACGGATTCTTAGTGCTTGTTTTGTCACTTGGTAATTTTTTAATGAAATGAAAGTGTTATTTGCCTTTTCCAAAACAGTTTTGTCAAACAAATCCACCTGAATTATTTGTTTAGGTTGGGGGTTTGACTGATAGAAATAACTGTATAGGAGAGATGGATTTTCGGAGAGCACTTAATTTTTTGCCACACATGCCAGCTTGGAAAAGTTAACATTAGTGTACGGTAAGAAATGAGTAGCTGACTCATCTCAACACTGATGTGATAACTGTGAAAACCCTATTCAGTAAGGACAGCCCCAGTGTTGCTTTGCAGACTGGTTCCAGTACTAACTTGTCCAGAACTAACGGTGTAGCTGCTAAAGGGAACAAATCTCATAAAACTGCAAAGTGGTCAGCAATGATGGGGACAAAAGTATGAAGGGCAGTAAGAGATTGCTTGGTAACCTGCCTGCATTCAAACAAAACACGGCTTTTGGTTCATCCAGATACAATATCATGTCTCTAGAAACGAAATGTGGTACAAATGTACCCACTGAGTGTGCTGGAAAGTAGAAAGTGTTGGCCCTGACTGGAATTTGGAGGTCTTGGTAGATAAGCCACTGCACAGGCAAGGGACAGCGTAAGTAATACTGTGATAAAAAGGGACATGCCATCTTCTGTGTAAATGAAAAGTCTGGACACAATTTCCTAGCTGCAAACTGTCATTATGACATGGTCTTCTACAGCATGTATTTTTAAAGGGTGGAAAGAGATTAAAGAAGGTTCAGAGCATAAAAAAAAAAAGGTATAATCATTTGTCGGATGGAGAAGATGCCTGAGAATGGAAACTCAGTTTTCATAGTTAATCAAAAGCACGAAGTACAAAACTGTTGCAGCTTATACTATCTTGCAGAGAGAAGAAGGAATGGCAGCTTGTGTTACCCATCCTCAACAGACATTTATGACTGCCATTTCCATGTTTTTATGACACAAATGTGTGGAACGTGCTTCGTTCAAGTGGCTCTGATTTTTCTACTCTAACTGAATGTTCATCCCATTTTGTGATGTGTTGAGATAAGGAGAACAGAAGTTCTCCCTCATCCACCTTCATACATGTAACTATCTTATAAGGTTTTATGTCACTCTTCTGTGCTTCTTACAGTGAATAGTATCAGTCTTTTCAAGTGGGAAGTTTTCCAGATCCTTAATAATTTATTTAAAACCAAGTCTGCACAGAGTATTCCAGATGCATCCACATGATACAATTATCTAAAAGTATTATGATTTTTTCCACATTATCCCTTTTGCCATTCAGCATACAGCCTAGCGCAAAGCTTATTTGTTTGGCCCAAGCTGTATGTTGAGCAAGGGCCACAGTGACACACCAAATAGATACTCGGTGCACTGGATGCAGCTGTTTCATACAAGAATTAAATAACTTTCTAATCTACACAATGACAGCTTTCAGCTGCCACACAAATTGAAAAGCCTGATATCATCCAGTCACACATGCCTCATGCGGCTGACTCTAGTGGTCCATAAGCTGTACTTGCATGTGTTGCTGTTGAAATAAAGCAAATCGGTAAGTCTCTGAAGGTCTCTGACCTGAGTGATCACCATAGCAAGGGGCAGAATATGCTGTTTCTGTCAGTGAAACCCTCTGGCCTGAGAACAAGCCCTCTCTTTTGGAGCAGGAAATCCAAAAGTAGCAGCTTTACCAGGGCATGCATCATGTTTGACAAGATCACAGCAGATCTGCAGCCAGTTTGGACAATAAAAGAAGTTGCCCTGACCAAAATCTTTGCAAGAAATGCTCAGAAAACAGCAGTCCAGGAAAGGCTGACCTTCTGGAGAATGATGTCACTCACCTTGCAGTTTACTTCCTACTAGGGAAAAAGGAGGCTTGGGATTATTGAATACACATGGCAAAGAGATGTGGGGAAAGCCAAGAATCTATTAAAGTCTTTAATTGGAATATATTTTCAAAATTTAGATTGAACCTCATCCAGATTCTCATTATTAAAAATCTGTGGCTCAGGTTCTTGGTTTTAACAAGGAATAAGAGAATAAAAAGAAGAGAGGAGGGAAAAAGAAAATAAGAGTTCCAATAACTCTGGATTGTGTCACTTTCCAAGAGTAAAATAGGCCATTGCTGGCTCCTGTGATACAGTTTCCCACAAAATATTGTGATGAGTAGGTCACTGTCAGTGACTGTTGTTAGGTTTTGCCAGGACATAGAGACTAGAAAGGTGCTGTGACAGTACTAAAATAGCGATTAGTATCTGATCCTTGTTATAGAAGCTGATGATTTATGCAAGAAGCAAACTCAAAGGTATTCAGGCAGCTGGTAAATAGAATTGCCTCCTAAGCAGAATTTCAGGAGCAGTGTGAGAGTCACAATGTGGTATAACAGCAGGTTTGCAGCACATAAAATTTTATTTAATCATTAGATTATTGCTTTGATACCTCCATACCAAATCCACAAGAGTCAAACAGCTTTGATTGGTGAGTTCTAAAGGTAGCTTTCCATTCAAATGGGGTTTCTTTACTTGAGGAAACCTTTGGTGAGGACTCTACCAACTGCTCTCAGTAGAGTCAACACGTTCTCCATCAGCTTGAGCATCTACTCTGATCTTGGACTGGAGACCGGAGGTAGAGAGGCCACCTCTTAACAAGTCTGCAAAATTGTCATTAGTGGTTGTTGAGATTAGTATCAAGAGCTGTAAATTTGTCTGCTGGAGGCAAAGAGGGTTATGCTTCTTGCCAGTAAGACATCTGTTGCTATCTCTGTTATCAGTGGGTACCTCTTGTAGCGGCAGGTATGCTCGTATCTCTCAAGCAGCATGTGTGTACAAACTGGCCTCCCTCTGAAAGGGAAAGGATCTGCACAAAAGGCTCCCTCTTCTCCCTATGGAAGAGGTTCAATCTTCTCATTTACTGCTGGAAGGGAACAATGTTTTCTTGTAGTAGCGATGTGCGCAGACAGACCCTGCGCTGCATGGACCCATCAGCAGGTGGGAGACAGATAACCCTGAGCTGAGCTGTTGCTGCTTTTGCAGCTTCCCTGTCTGTAAACATTACCCTTTGTGGGCAGGCAACACCTCTGTCTTGCCAAAGTTTATCTGTACTGCTTGTTACTAATGTCTTCTTTGGTATAATACTCTTCTCTGTGCTGGGGGTGGTGATTAAACAGCTGTTCTCATTGCATCCATCTGAAAACAATATTGTGGATGCACAAATTTGCATTGGTGTCAAGGGAAGACTGAGCCCTCCAGAACATCATCTGAAGGCATCACAGGTGCCTGGAGGCAGAAAGAAGCAAATGACTGTCAAAAGCCTTTCAGTTTATCTGAGATCCCAGATCCCCAAATAGTGTCTCCCAAAAGAGCGGAGCTGCTGATGTCAAAGGAGGATGAACAACCTACAAATACATGTGCTTGGCCACTATCTTCCTGACAGCAGCCATCAGTTCTCTCAGCAATCCCACCAGGATAATCTGGATGCTGCTTCCCTTTCGAAATCAATTGTGAATGGTCTAGGTTATTGGCAGAGGTCAGATACCTGGTTTTGGTCTCAATTACCTTCTTGATTCTTTTGACCTTGAAAAGGAGATTGGAAACAGAGCAGTTGTTGCCAGAGTAGTTGGGATCAAGAGCTGGTTTCTGCTGCATTCTTCAAATGGCTTGTAGATTGCCTCATTTCAGTGAAGCAACAGGGAACAAACTGTTCCAGCTTCTTCTTGGTTGAGCTGCAGACAGTTTTTCTTTAAGGAATGGGCATGTCTGGTGCTTCAAAGTCTCATCTTTCACAGAGAAAGGCTAAAATACCCTCCCAGATGTGACACGAGGCTCTGAGAGTCGAATTCTGTGGTGCTCCTTGATGACCTGAAAGAAGCCCCAAGCATTCTGTTACACCAGGGAGGTGTTTACGCTGAATTCTAATTACTGAAGCCTAAAGGTCTGTTATCTCATGGGGGTGGTGATCATATTTCATATAAATGTATGGAGAGGGCAATGATACTTTGAAGATTTGCATAATTTCCTCGGAGCAGCGCATTATTTTGTTACATACAGAAAGTGCATGTGCTTTGAGCTTGC